GTCTGGATGCACAAGAGTACATTTATCCATTCACCTACGAAGGATATCCTGGTGGATTCCAAGTTTTGGCAAGGATGAATAAAGCTGCTATAAACATCCTTGTGCAGGTATGTGTACTCTATCTGAAATATCCCAAACAGACCAGTCCATAGTGTCTTTGCTCCTCACAGCAAAATTTTGAATGTTACTGCCACTTATTAAAAAACTTTATGAAAAGACATAATATTGTTTTTATTGGACCTTCACAATATATTTTTAATTTTATCAGAAAAGGGCAAAATATTTTAAACAAATCAAAAGAGGAAGAATGAAGAAAGTTATCGTGATAGCTTATTACTATAGTTTATAAAAGTGTAACAATTAATAAAATGATACTATGAAAGAATGTACATGCCCAATGTTTATATATTGTGGATAACCACCTAATAAGATATTATATAGCAGTCAATAAAAACCTGAGATATTTAGTAACCTATAGAAACTTAGTTATATAATGTTGAAGGCATAAGGCAGATATTTAAAAGTTTCAAAGATACAAAACTAAATGATAAAGATAAATGAAATGTGGTATATTTGTGTAAATATTACCTAGAAATTAAAAAAGAAATAAACATACCATATTAATATTATGTTATATATATGTGCATATATGTTACATATACAATATGGATGTATTGTATATATATATTATATATCCTACATAGTACAACATGGATGAAGCTGAAAATGAGCAGCTGAAGGCAGATGCAGAAGACCACATATGATATGATTTCATTTTTGTGAAATATTCTGACTAGATCAATCCATAGTGACGGAAAGTAGATCATTGGTAATCTAGGCCTTGGAGAGATGGAATGGTTGAGAGGACAATGGCTAGGAGATGTGGGGTTTCTCTTTGAAGTAATAAAAATTTGTAAAATGGATTATGGTGATGGATGCACAACCCTTTGAGTAAAAACTGTTGGACTGTACCCTTTAAATGGGTGCATTGTACAAAAGGTGACATAGATCAACAAAGCTATTTTTTTAAACTGAACAGTACAGTGTTTGCACATAAATACTTCAAATAAAATCCATATTAAAAAAAAGATACCCAAAGTGTCTGTCTCATTTGTCTAGTGGGGAGAGTACCCATTTTAGAGGGTGTGATGGTCTATTTCAGGTGTCCACGTGGCTGCCTTAAGGAATACATCAGGAATTGGTAAAGCATTGTTTCTGAGTGAGCCCGCAGGTATTCCCAGGAAGATTGGTGTGAGCTGGTGGACAGAGTGAGGAAGATGCCTTTAGTAGAGACAGGCCCCATCCAATTCTCTGAGGCCCAGATACAAGAAACAGGGCAGAGGAAAGGCGCTTTCCTCCCTTTCTCTCCTGGAGCTGGGACTCTTCTTTTCCTGCCCGTGGACACCACAACTGCAGGCTCTTTACATACTGAGAGTTACACCATCCACTTCCCTGGTTCTGAGGCTTTTGGATGTGAACTGAGTCACACTCCTGGCATCCCAGGGGCTCCAGCCTGCAGAAAGCCTGTCCTGAGACTTTTCACCCTCCTATTCCTTTAATAAATCTGCTCTCATCCATCTTTGCTGATATCCTGTTGGTGGTGTCTCTCAAGAGCCCCGATTAATCCATAGGGGTGATGTGAGGGAGCAATGAGGTCGTGCATGGGGAGCATTTCACAGCCTGCCTGACACAGGCCCATGTCCTATAGGCTGCAGCTTCAGCTACTCTAGAGCTTAGTGTCAGGGCTCAAAATGGTGGAAGGCCTTGCCTCCGGCACCCAGCCATCGTGTTGATCTTTTCCTGTCATTTTTCAATTCCAGAGTGTTTTCTTGAGAGCAATTCGGTGTCCCAGGTAGTATTGACGAGGGGCTAAAATCAATCCTTACCTGTGGGAATCTGAAGCTGGGAGTGAGCAAAGGTGGGAAAGTTCTCAGGAGTCAGGAACAGAGGAAGCTGCATGGTCAAGGGGAATCGACATGAGCCTTCCTGCCGTGTGTTCTGTTTCCTGCGGTCTAATGAGAAAGAGACATATGTATGTCTACATCATCTCATACTTAGCTCTTTAATATGTACAAGCTGTTTTCAAATTTTCCCACCGACTGTCCTTGACAGCTGAGAACATCAAGATTACCTGTTGTTGGTGACTGTTGTCAAGGGGATCCGCCCTTTAGGGACACAGGAAGATTTGCCTAAAAACATCAGGAAGCTTGATATCTATTATTTTATTATAAAAGTCAACTGCAGTTTTGCTGATGTATTACTTCTTTACTCATTCCAATGTTTATTTTAAGCCTGAGCTTGTGGGTAGTTGGAGAAGGAGGGAAAATATTTAACACTCTTATTAACTAATTTTACTGTGTATTTAACATGTAGAATAAAGAAAGACTTAAATGAAGATGTAGTATTTGTGAATGCTCCAACAAACTAAAAGATTATTTAAATTACTGATTTGTGATTGAACCATTTATTGTCTATAATGAATTAAAAGTTTGTGAAAATAAATTCCGTGACCTTTGGCATCTATAATTTCAAAATCGTAGTAATTTTTCAAAGCTGAAAATGCCTGAAACACCAGTCTGCCAATCATCACAATAAAACATGAAGCCCCAATGAAAGAGCTAGTCAGGATGGGTTCCCAATAAATAGCAGTTGAAGCTCCAACTACCATCAGGTGATGAGAAAACACGGTGTAAGGGCCACGTGTAATTTTTTAAATGCCAAAAGAATCGTCACAGACCGTTTTGGCTTGCAGAGCTTGAATGGCAATATGGCATTAAAATAAGGTACACAAAATTAATTATTGAATGTAATTTTGAAACACACTGCTAAAGTGCTCCCTAATATTCAACAAGCCCAAAAGTGACCACTGACAAGACTTCGTTTATTGCAGTTTTTATGCTGTCATTATGGAAAAACTGTAGCAGAAAGTTCACCAACCTCCCTTTGGAAAGAGACGTACAACCACGGCCAATAGGCTTTCCTAAAGGACAGCAGGAGCCTTGCACTGGGACTTGTTCCCGTCCATAACATACAAATAGTTATTGTTCAGGGTCAATACAGCCTTGCAAATACACAGGCTTTGAGTTATACCAAGCATGCTCGTCCTTATATGGTATGTCCATATATGAAATACAAAAGAAATACACCACAAAATGATGGTGTTCAGGACATGGGGGAAGGCCCTGTTTCTGTGGTACAGCGTAACACATGGAAACTGCCTATAAAGCCAGTGCTTCACAACCCACGCCCTTATTACATGGAAATTCACGTTTCCATAATCACATAAAAGTTTAATGTGCTATTCATTATAAGATTAAAGGTTATGAGTTATTCTGTGCATGTAATTATTGACAACTGGAAATTAAATCGCGATAATTTTTTACTCTATTCTTTTAAAAATGATAATTTTCTTTCTCCTTTTGCCTGAGAACCATGCTTCGACAATCATAACACCTTACCTCCTAAAGTAAATGATCACAAATAGAATATATATTTTATATATGATATATAGTTATATTTATACATTATATAACAATATAAATATATATTTATATTTTATCTTTGTATTGATAAATTTATATAAAATATAAATATTTATATATAATCTATATATGAAATCTAGCCACATAAACCTAAATATATAAAAATAAATATATAAATATATATATAGAGGTAATTATATACAAATATATAATGATAAATACAAATCATATATATATATATATATATATACATGCACACATTAGGAATACACAGGTCTTTTCTGTATATAGCAAAGACCTGTGTGTTTATATAAAAACCCATGTATATAAATATTTATAAATATGTATTTTATATATATATACACATTAGGAACACAGTAGTAGCAAATTCTACTATATATAGAAAAGACCTGTGCATTTATATAACTATATATGAATGTAGATTACACATATAGACATTACAAATACACAGGTCTTTTCGACACATAGCAAGTTCTATATTATTCTCTCATTGCAATGATGGACAACTGGGTATTGAGTAGTGAAAAATTTTGTAGTTTATTCTTCTTAAAGTGGTTATTTTCTTTCTCTTTTTGCCTGTGAACCATGCTTCAACAATCAGAACGCCTTACTTTCTAAAATAAATGATTATATATAACATATAAATATGTTTTATATATAATATAAATATTTCTATATATAATCTATATGTATATATGAAGAAGTTAATATATAAATATATAGTAGGTTCTAGTATATATAGAAAAAACGTGTATTTCTAATGTATGTAGACATCTGTATTTATAGACATATAATCCAAATTTGTATTTATATATTTTATACATATAAAATCTATATATTTGTAAATAATATAGTTGTATATATTTCATTTACTTATATATTTGTATATAGTAAGTTCTACTATATATGGAAAAGACCTGTGTATTTCTAATGTATGGAAATATGAAATGTACTTTTTGTGTCCTCAGTTGCAAAAATAAAATAGCTTTTTTCAAATAGATTTTACTCTACTTTGAATTTTTCTTCTTAATTATATTAGATTGTAGGGAGGGGATGCTGAAAGGAAAGAGGATTCTTCCATCGGTTTCTATGAATGAAAAGGTACTTTAACAATGAAACCTAAGTAGGTAGAATCTGATTCTTGGTACTTGATGTATGAGCTAGCAAGATTGCATGAAGAAAGAAGGCTTACAAGACGAGGAGTCATCCTGTGAAGGGGAAATTTGTCTCCAGTGCTCAGCTCTGATGCAGTCCTTATCCTCCTGTCTGGCTGTGACCTGTCTCTCTGACATCAACCTCGTAGGACCCCACTTCCTACCCCCTCCGCACACCACCCATTCTTCCCTCCGCCCCATACACCACCACTTTTTCCCTCCCTCTCCCCCCCTCTCCCCCCCTCCCGCCACACATCACCTGTCCCTCCCTCCCTCCCTCCCTCCCTCCCTTCCTCCCTCCCCACCATCAGAGAACACAGTCACTGGGATCATTTTGCAACACATTGGATTTATTGACATCAGCATGGGGGCGCCCCCTGCACTGGTGAGATCTCCGAGTCTCCTGGCAGCTGGGCCTGAACTTAGTCGCTGCTGAGGGACGAGGCGGAGACGGTCATCACGTCACTCGGTAGATCCGACGAGGTGGAGACGGTCATCACGTCACTCAGTGGCTCCGACGAGGTGGAGACGGTCATCACGTCACTCAGTGGCTCCTCCAGCTGGGTCTCCTGGCTCAGTGGCTCCTCCAGCTGGGTCTCCTGGCTCAGTGGGTCGGGCTCGCCCACTGGCTCCTCCTTCACAGGCACTTTGCATGGAGGAAGCTCCTGGCTCGGCGGCTGGCTGGGCCCGGGTGGTGCTGGCCCGCTCCCTGCCTCAGGGGCTCCCATGGCTGCCATCTTTTTCCGAGCGGCACGTTTCTTCCCGCCTCTCCCTCCAGGACCTACTTTTCCTCTCTTGCCCTCCTTGGAAATCTGGAAGGGCAACAGGGAGATCACAGTGGGGCTCTGTCCGGGTCAGGGGAGAGGATGGAGGAGGCTGGGAACAGGGACGTTTCCTGAGAAGCGGTGAGGGCCGGGCTGGGGGTTGTGCCAGGTGACGACAGGGCAGGAATCTTGAGGAAGGAATCAAGGGGAAGACGAGGAGGAGCTCGGGTGGGTCACTCACCTTCTTCGGGGTACTGGGACTCACCTCAGAAGAGGACTTCCTCTTTTGCGTCTCCCCGGCCTTGGCCGGCGGTACCGAGGCTCTCTTCTTTGGCGCCATCTTGCTCAACTCAAAGGTCATCACGTCACTCAGTGGCTCCGACGTGGTGGAGACGGTCATCACGTCACTCAGTGGCTCCTCCAGCTGGGTCTCCTGGCTCAGTGGCTCCTCCAGCTGGGTCTCCTGGCTCAGTGGGTCGGGCTCGCCCACTGGCTCCTCCTTCACAGGCACTTTGCATGGAGGAAGCTCCTGGCTCGGCGGCTGGCTGGGCCCGGGTGGTGCTGGCCCGCTCCCTGCCTCAGGGGCTCCCACGGCTGCCATCTTTTTCCCAGCGGCACGTTTCTTCCCGCCTCTCCCTCCAGGACCTGCTTTTCCTCTCTTGCCCACCTTGGGCGTCTGGAAGGACAACAGGGAGATCACAGTGGGGCTCTGTCCGGGTCAGGGGAGAGGATGGAGGAGGCTGGGAACAGGGACGTTTCCTGAGAAGCGGTGAGGGCCGGGCTGGGGGTTGTGCCAGGTGACGACAGGGCAGGAATCTTGAGGAAGGAATCAAGGGGAAGACGAGGAGGAGCTCGGGTGGGTCACTCACCTTCTTCGGGGTACTGGGACTCGCCTCAGAAGAGGACTTCCTCTTTCGCGTCTCCCCGGCCTTGGCCGGCGGTCCCGAGGCTCTCTTCTTTGGCGCCATCTTGCTCAACTCAACGTCTCCAACGTCAATGTCAGGCTGCCTGGTCTACGTGTACGTGCCCCTTTCGTCCACGACAATGAGGCAACCACGTTTCTGAGCTTTGATTGGTCAGCATGCCACCACCCAGCCAATGGTAGCCCTGGGCGGGAAGGACGGGCTTAGACGTCACACAGCACCGCCGGGACATGGCCGAAGAAGTGTGGGGGTGGGGTGGCATTTGATGAGGAAGGCAGGATGCTATGATTGGAGAAAGGGAGATTATGGTTAGCACTCCTAAAGATGGTTCCCAACTGACATGTCACCCCACTTCACCTCCCCATGTTCAATTTTGGCAGATCACTTGGCACGGGAGGGTGTTTCCTCCAGATGTTTCCCCAGGACCCCCCCATTCAGTGGTACATTCTGTTCCCTCCCACCTTCCATCATTACCCAGTTTCTGTATGACCTACCTCAACCTCCTCCATGCTAACTGGGACAGGTGTAAGGCTATGTGAAGATGGCAATCATCTCCCTCTCCTACACATTCGTCTGCTGATCCTCGAGGACCATTCACTTCTTGGATGCTGTGAAAGAACTTATCCATTTCCCTTTCTTATCCCAGTGCCCACAGATTACCCCTAAATGTTTCATTCTCATGGTTTAAAGCACTGGCGTCAGGGGGTCAAGCTCAGCAAACACACTGTCTCTGCTGCCTATCTGTATCAAGCTGGGTTCCTCAGAGAAGGAGAAACTAACCCAACAGGGTATTGTGTTGGTTTGTGTGTGTGTTTGTGTGTGTGTGTGTGTGTGTTTGTGTGTGTGTGTGTGTGTGATATACATCATAAACATCTATTTACTATCATATCATATTTGTTTCTGAATGATATTATGTATATGATACGGTTCACTGTAAGGAATTGTCTCACACATTAACACAATGTTGCGGTCTGGAAGGCTGAAATATGTAGCGCAGGTGAGCAGTCTGGAAACTAAAAGCTTCTGCACAGTTGACAGTCAACAAAATTAAAAGGCAGCCTATGGTTTGGGAGGTTTGTGTGCTCCCTCTGGGTTTATTTGGCAGCAGTTAGGACATACCTGGGTCATCTTTTGTAAACTCAGGGTGGAATAAGAAAGCCCCATCTATCTTCCAGGACCATTCTAAGGATGCCTCGCATGCATTGCTCAGTCATGACAGCGATGATTATTTTTCGAATAGTATCTAGCCCACTGCCTGGACCATGGTTGGTCCCCAATAAATAATTTTTGGATGAATAATTTAATTTGTTATTAATACTTTTTTTACCCTCCTTATTGTTATTTTTTGGAGACAGGGTCTTGCTTTCTTTTCCAGGTTGAAGTGCAGTGGCGTGATCTTAGTTCACGGCAGCCTCCACCTCCCAGGTTCAGTTATTCTGCCTCAGCCTTCTGAGTAGCTGGGACTACCGGCACATGCCACCACATCTGGCTAACTTTTGTATTTTAGTAGAGACAGTGTTTCACCTTGTTAGCCAGGCTGATCTTGAACTCCTGACCTCAGGTGATCCACCAGCCTCTGCCTCCCAAAGCACTGGGATTACAGGAGTGAGCCACCACGCCTGGCCTCTTCTCTATTTTTTTTTTTCACTGCAATTACTCTTATCAAATTTTGAGTTGTATCAGATTCTCAATCTAGTTAAGATTCAAAATTACATATCAGCTTGCTAGTCTAGCGCTTTTCCTTACTCCTCTCCCTGAAACGTCCTCAATTCTGTTTCTATTCTGCCTGGCTTTTTTTCCCACTCCCGTGGACCGGTGTCCAGGGCCTCATACCCCCCAAAACCCTTCAACTAGTTATTAACTAATTTAACTGTGTATATAACATGTAGAAGAACACCTTTCTGCCAGTAAAAACATTTTCTTTCAAGAAAATAGGTAACAGCTGTTTTCATAAAACCTTCCGGGCCAGACATGGTGGTTCTCACCTGTAATCCCAGCACTTTGGGAGGCCGAGGTGGGTGGGTCACCTGAGGCCAGGAGTTTCAGATAAGCCTGGCCAACATGGCAAAACCCCGTCTTTACCAAAAGGATAAAACTTAGCCCAGTGTGGTGTGGTAGGTGCTTGTAATCCCAGCTACTCAGGAGGCTGAAGCAAAGAATCGCTTGAATCCAGGAGACAAAGATTACAGTGAGCCAACATTGCACCACTGCGCTCCAGCCTGGGCCACAAGAGTGAATCTCTGTCTCAAAAAGAAACAAACAAACAAACAAAAACTCTTCTCTATATGAACTGAGCCTACAATTATCTTGCTCATAGAATTTCTGTAGCGCTTATGCACACATAAAGTGTGCGAATTCACACTTGGTTCTGGGGACTCCTTTCATGAATGCCAGCTAAGATGTGGCCCCTAAACCAGGGGACGTGCCTCGAGTGCCTCTTCAGTCCTCCTACAGTGTGGAATACAGTGCTGCTTCTGCAGCATTGAGCAGCAGTCCTTGAGACGGTAGAGTTTGGAATTTGATCTTTGCAGACTTGAGTTTTAATCCTGACTCTGTAACCTATAAGCACCATAAGAAAGGTACTCAAGCTGTCTATCTCAGGTGTCCAGCGGGGATAGTACCCATTTTACAGGGTGCGATGGTTAATTTCAGGTGTCCACGTGGCTGCCTTAAGGAATACATCAGGAATTGGTAAAGCATTGTTTCTGAGTGAGCCCGCAGGTATTCCCAGGAAGATTGGTGTGAGCTGGTGGACAGAGTGAGGAAGATGCCTTTAGTAGAGACAGGCCCCATCCAATTCTCTGAGGCCCAGATAGAAGAAACAGGGCAGAGGAAAGGCGCTTTCCTCCCTTTCTCTCCTGGAGCTGGGACTCTTCTTTTCCTGCCCGTGGACAGCACAACTGCAGGCTCTTTTCATACTGAGAGTTACACCATCCACTTCCCTGGTTCTGAGGCTTTTGGATGTGAACTGAGTCACACTCCTGGCATCCCAGGGGCTCCAGCCTGCAGAAAGCCTGTCCTGAGACTTTTCACCCTCCAATTCCTTTAATAAATCTGCTCTCACCCATCTTTGCTGATATCCTGTTGGTGGTGTCTCTCAAGAGCCCCGATTAATCCATAGGGGTGATGTGGGGGAGCAATGAGGTCGTGCATGGGGAGCAGGCAGCATTTCACAGCCTGCCTGACACATGCCCATGTCCTATAGGCTGCAGCTGCAGCTATTCTAGAGCTTAGTGTCAGGGCTTAAAACAGTGGAAGGCCTTGCCTCCGGCACCCAGCCATCGTGTTGATCTTTTCCTGTCATTTTTCAATTCCAGAGTGTTTTCTTGAGAGCAATTCGGTGTCCCAGGTAGTATTGACGAGGGGCTAAAATCAATCCTTACCTGTGGGAATCTGAAGCTGGGAGTGAGCAAAGGTGAGAAAGTTCTCAGGAGTCAGGAGCAGAGGAAGCTGCATGGTCAAGGGGAATCGACATGAGCCTTCCTGCCGTGTGTTCTGTTTCCTGCGGTCTAATGAGAAAGAGACATATGTATGTCTACATCATCTCATACTTAGCTCTTTAATATGTACAAGGTGTTTTCAAATTTTCCCACCGACTGTCCTTGACAGCTGAGAACATCAAGATTACCTGTTGTTGGTTACTGTTGTCAAGGGGATCCGCCCTTTAGGGACACAGGAAGATTTGCCTAAAAACGTCAGGAAGCTTGATATCTATTATTTTATTGTAAAAGTCAACTGCAGTTTTGCTGATGTATTACTTCTTTACTCATTCCAATGTTTATTTTAAGCCTGAGCTTGTGGGTCGTTGGAGAAGGAGGGAAAATATTTAACACTCTTATTAACTAATTTTACTGTGTATTTAACATGTAGAATAAAGAAAGACTTAAATGAAGATGTAGTATTTGTGAATGCTCCAACAAACTAAAAGATTATTTAAATTACTGATTTGTGATTGAACCATTTATTGTCTATAATGAATTAAAAGTTTGTGAAAATAAATTCCGTGACCTTTGGCATCTATAATTTCAAAATCGTAGTAATTTTTCAAAGCTGAAAATGCCTGAAACACCAGTCTGCCAATCATCACAATAAAACATGAAGCCCCAGTGAAAGAGCTAGTCAGGATGGGTTCCCAATAAATAGCAGTTGAAGCTCCAACTACCATCAGGTGATGAGAAAACACGGTGTAAGGGCCACGTGTAATTTTTTAAATGCCAAAAGAATCGTCACAGACCGTTTTGGCTTGCAGAGCTTGAATGGCAATATGGCATTAAAATAAGGTACACAAAATTAATTATTGAATGTAATTTTGAAACACACTGCTAAAGTGCTCCCTAATATTCAACAAGCCCAAAAGTGACCACTGACAAGACTTCGTTTATTGCAGTTTTTATGCTGTCATTATGGAAAAACTGTAGCAGAAAGTTCACCAACCTCCCTTTGGAAAGAGACGTACAACCACGGCCAATAGGCTTTCCTAAAGGACAGCAGGAGCTTTTCACTGGAACTTGTTTCCCGTCCATAACATACAAATAGTTATTGTTCAGGGTCAATACAGCCTTGCAAATACACAGGCTTTGAGTTATACCAAGCATGCTCGTCCTTATATGGTATGTCCATATATGAAATACAAAAGAAATACACCACAAAATGATGGTGTTCAGGACATGGGGGAAGGCCCTGTTTCTGTGGTACAGCGTAACACATGGAAACTGCCTATAAAGCCAGTGCTTCACAACCCACGCCCTTATTACATGGAAATTCACGTTTCCATAATCACATAAAAGTTTAATGTGCTATTCATTATAAGATTAAAGGTTATGAGTTATTCTGTGCATGTAATTATTGACAACTGGAAATTAAATCGCGATAATTTTTTACTCTATTCTTTTAAAAATGATAATTTTCTTTCTCCTTTTGCCTGAGAACCATGCTTCGACAATCATAACACCTTACCTCCTAAAGTAAATGATCACAAATAGAATATATATTTTATATATGATATATAGTTATATTTATACATTATATAACAATATAAATATATATTTATATTTTATCTTTGTATTGATAAATTTATATAAAATATAAATATTTGTATATAATCTATATATGAAATCTAGCCACATAAACCTAAATATATAAAAATAAATATATAAATATACATATATAGAGGTAATTATATACAAATATATAATGATAAATACAAATCATATATATATATATATATATATATACATGCACACATTAGGAATACACAGGTCTTTTCTGTATATAGCAAAGACCTGTGTGTTTATATAAAAACCCATGTATATAAATATTTATAAATATGTATTTTATATATATATACACATTAGGAACACAGTAGTAGCAAATTCTACTATATATAGAAAAGACCTGTGCATTTATATAACTATATATGAATGTAGATTACACATATAGACATTACAAATACACAGGTCTTTTCGACACATAGCAAGTTCTATATTATTCTCTCATTGCAATGATGGACAACTGGGTATTGAGTAGTGAAAAATTTTGTAGTTTATTCTTCTTAAAGTGGTTATTTTCTTTCTCTTTTTGCCTGTGAACCATGCTTCAACAATCAGAACGCCTTACTTTCTAAAATAAATGATTATATATAACATATAAATATGTTTTATATATAATATAAATATTTCTATATATAATCTATAGGTATATATGAAGAAGTTAATATATAAATATATAGTAGGTTCTAGTATATATAGAAAAAACGTGTATTTCTAATGTATGTAGACATCTGTATTTATAGACATATAATCCAAATTTGTATTTATATATTTTATACATATAAAATCTATATATTTGTAAATAATATAGTTGTATATATTTCATTTACTTATATATTTGTATATAGTAAGTTCTACTATATATGGAAAAGACCTGTGTATTTCTAATGTATGGAAATATGAAATGTACTTTTTGTGTCCTCAGTTGCAAAAATAAAATAGCTTTTTTCAAATAGATTTTACTCTACTTTGAATTTTTCTTCTTAATTATATTAGATTGTAGGGAGGGGATGCTGAAAGGAAAGAGGATTCTTCCATCGGTTTCTATGAATGAAAAGGTACTTTAACAATGAAACCTAAGTAGGTAGAATCTGATTCTTGGTACTTGATGTATGAGCTAGCAAGATTGCATGAAGAAAGAAGCCTTACAAGACGAGGAGTCATCCTGTGAAGGGGAAATTTGTCTCCAGTGCTCAGCTCTGATGCAGTCCTTATCCTCCTGTCTGGCTGTGACCTGTCTCTCTGACATCAACCTCGTAGGACCCCACTTCCTACCCCCTCCACACACCACCCATTCTTCCCTCCGCCCCATACACCACCACTTCCTCCCTCCCTCTCCCCCCCTCCCTCTCCCCCCCTCCCCCCACACATCACCTGTCCCTCCCTCCCTCCCTCCCTCCCTCCCTCCCTCCCTCCCTCCCCACCATCAGAGAACACAGTCACTGGGATCATTTTGCAACACATTGGATTTATTGACATCAGCATGGGGGCGCCCCCTGTGCTGGTGAGATCTCCGAGTCTCCTGGCAGCTGGGCCTGAACTTAGTCGCTGCTGAGGGACGAGGCGGAGACGGTCATCACGTCACTCGGTAGATCCGACGAGGTGGAGACGGTCATCACGTCACTCAGTGGCTCCGACGAGGTGGAGACGGTCATCACGTCACTCAGTGGCTCCTCCAGCTGGGTCTCCTGGCTCAGTGGCTCCTCCAGCTGGGTCTCCTGGCTCAGTGGGTCGGGCTCGCCCACTGGCTCCTCCTTCACAGGCACTTTGCATGGAGGAAGCTCCTGGCTCGGCGGCTGGCTGGGCCCGGGTGGTGCTGGCCCGCTCCCTGCCTCAGGGGCTCCCATGGCTGCCATCTTTTTCCGAGCGGCACGTTTCTTCCCGCCTCTCCCTCCAGGACCTACTTTTCCTCTCTTGCCCTCCTTGGAAATCTGGAAGGGCAACAGGGAGATCACAGTGGGGCTCTGTCCGGGTCAGGGGAGAGGATGGAGGAGGCTGGGAACAGGGACGTTTCCTGAGAAGCGGTGAGGGCCGGGCTGGGGGTTGTGCCAGGTGACGACAGGGCAGGAATCTTGAGGAAGGAATCAAGGGGAAGACGAGGAGGAGCTCGGGTGGGTCACTCACCTTCTTCGGGGTACTGGGACTCACCTCAGAAGAGGACTTCCTCTTTTGCGTCTCCCCGGCCTTGGCCGGCGGTACCGAGGCTCTCTTCTTTGGCGCCATCTTGCTCAACTCAAAGGTCATCACGTCACTCAGTGGCTCCGACGAGGTGGAGACGGTCATCACGTCACTCAGTGGCTCCTCCAGCTGGGTCTCCTGGCTCAGTGGCTCCTCCAGCTGGGTCTCCTGGCTCAGTGGGTCGGGCTCGCCCACTGGCTCCTCCTTCACAGGCACTTTGCATGGAGGAAGCTCCTGGCTCGGCGGCTGGCTGGGCCCGGGTGGTGCTGGCCCGCTCCCTGCCTCAGGGGCTCCCACGGCTGCCATCTTTTTCCCAGCGGCACGTTTCTTCCCGCCTCTCCCTCCAGGACCTGCTTTTCCTCTCTTGCCCACCTTGGGCGTCTGGAAGGACAACAGGGAGATCACAGTGGGGCTCTGTCCGGGTCAGGGGAGAGGATGGAGGAGGCTGGGAACAGGGACGTTTCCTGAGAAGCGGTGAGGGCCGGGCTGGGGGTTGTGCCAGGTGACGACAGGGCAGGAATCTTGAGGAAGGAATCAAGGGGAAGACGAGGAGGAGCTCGGGTGGGTCACTCACCTTCTTCGGGGTACTGGGACTCGCCTCAGAAGAGGACTTCCTCTTTCGCGTCTCCCCGGCCTTGGCCGGCGGTCCCGAGGCTCTCTTCTTTGGCGCCATCTTGCTCAACTCAACGTCTCCAACGTCAATGTCAGGCTGCCTGGTCTACGTGTACGTGCCCCTTTCGTCCACGACAATGAGGCAACCACGTTTCTGAGCTTTGATTGGTCAGCATGCCACCACCCAGCCAATGGTAGCCCTGGGCGGGAAGGACGGGCTTAGACGTCACACAGCACCGCCGGGACATGGCCGAAGAAGTGTGGGGGTGGGGTGGCATTTGATGAGGAAGGCAGGATGCTATGATTGGAGAAAGGGAGATTATGGTTAGCACTCCTAAAGATGGTTCCCAACTGACATGTCACCCCACTTCACCTCCCCATGTTCAATTTTGGCAGATCACTTGGCACGGGAGGGTGTTTCCTCCAGATGTTTCCCCAGGACCCCCCCATTCAGTGGTACATTCTGTTCCCTCCCACCTTCCATCATTACCCAGTTTCTGTATGACCTACCTCAACCTCCTCCATGCTAACTGGGACAGGTGTAAGGCTATGTGAAGATGGCAATCATCTCCCTCTCCTACACATTCGTCTGCTGATCCTCGAGGACCATTCACTTCTTGGATGCTGTGAAAGAACTTATCCATTTCCCTTTCTTATCCCAGTGCCCACAGATTACCCCTAAATGTTTCATTCTCATGGTTTAAAGCACTGGCGTCAGGGGGTCAAGCTCAGCAAACACACTGTCTCTGCTGCCTATCTGTATCAAGCTGGGTTCCTCAGAGAAGGAGAAACTAACCCAACAGGGTATTGTGTTGGTTTGTGTGTGTGTTTGTGTGTGTGTGTGTGTGTGTGTGTGATATACATCATAAACATCTATTTACTATCATATCATATTTGTTTCTGAATGATATTATGTATATGATACGGTTCACTGTAAGGAATTGTCTCACACATTAACACAATGTTGCGGTCTGGAAGGCTGAAATATGTAGCGCAGGTGAGCAGTCTGGAAACTAAAAGCTTCTGCACAGTTGACAGTCAACAAAATTAAAAGGCAGCCTATGGTTTGGGAGGTTTGTGTGCTCCCTCTGGGTTTATTTGGCAGCAGTTAGGACATACCTGGGTCATCTTTTGTAAACTCAGGGTGGAATAAGAAAGCCCCATCTATCTTCCAGGACCATTCTAAGGATGCCTCGCATGCATTGCTCAGTCATGACAGCGATGATTATTTTTCGAATAGTATCTAGCCCACTGCCTGGACCATGGTTGGTCCCCAATAAATAATTTTTGGATGAATAATTTAATTTGTTATTAATACTTTTTTTACCCTCCTTATTGTTATTTTTTGGAGACAGGGTCTTGCTTTCTTTTCCAGGTTGAAGTGCAGTGGCGTGATCTTAGTTCACGGCAGCCTCCACCTCCCAGGTTCAGTTATTCTGCCTCAGCCTTCTGAGTAGCTGGGACTACCGGCACATGCCACCACATCTGGCTAACTTTTGTATTTTAGTAGAGACAGTGTTTCACCTTGTTAGCCAGGCTGATCTTGAACTCCTGACCTCAGGTGATCCACCAGCCTCTGCCTCCCAAAGCACTGGGATTACAGGAGTGAGCCACCACGCCTGGCCTCTTCTCTATTTTTTTTTTTCACTGCAATTACTCTTATCAAATTTTGAGTTGTATCAGATTCTCAATCTAGTTAAGATTCAAAATTACATATCAGCTTGCTAGTCTAGCGCTTTTCCTTACTCCTCTCCCTGAAACGTCCTCAATTCTGTTTCTATTCTGCCTGGCTTTTTTTCCCACTCCCGTGGACCGGTGTCCAGGGCCTCATACCCCCCAAAACCCTTCAACTAGTTATTAACTAATTTAACTGTGTATATAACATGTAGAAGAACACCTTTCTGCCAGTAAAAACATTTTCTTTCAAGAAAATAGGTAACAGCTGTTTTCATAAAACCTTCCGGGCCAGACATGGTGGTTCTCACCTGTAATCCCAGCACTTTGGGAGGCCGAGGTGGGTGGGTCACCTGAGGCCAGGAGTTTCAGATAAGCCTGGCCAACATGGCAAAACCCCGTCTTTACCAAAAGGATAAAACTTAGCCCAGTGTGGTGTGGTAGGTGCTTGTAATCCCAGCTACTCAGGAGGCTGAAGCAAAGAATCGCTTGAATCCAGGAGACAAAGATTACAGTGAGCCAACATTGCACCACTGCGCTCCAGCCTGGGCCACAAGAGTGAATCTCTGTCTCAAAAAGAAACAAACAAACAAACAAAAACTCTTCTCTATATGAACTGAGCCTACAATTATCTTGCTCATAGAATTTCTGTAGCGCTTATGCACACATAAAGTGTGCGAATTCACACTTGGTTCTGGGGACTCCTTTCATGAATGCCAGCTAAGATGTGGCCCCTAAACCAGGGGACGTGCCTCGAGTGCCTCTTCAGTCCTCCTACAGTGTGGAATACAGTGCTGCTTCTGCAGCATTGAGCAGCAGTCCTTGAGACGGTAGAGTTTGGAATTTGATCTTTGCAGACTTGAGTTTTAATCCTGACTCTGTAACCTATAAGCACCATAAGAAAGGTACTCAAGCTGTCTATCTCAGGTGTCCAGCGGGGATAGTACCCATTTTACAGGGTGCGATGGTTAATTTCAGGTGTCCACGTGGCTGCCTTAAGGAATACATCAGGAATTGGTAAAGCATTGTTTCTGAGTGAGCCCGCAGGTATTCCCAGGAAGATTGGTGTGAGCTGGTGGACAGAGTGAGGAAGATGCCTTTAGTAGAGACAGGCCCCATCCAATTCTCTGAGGCCCAGATAGAAGAAACAGGGCAGAGGAAAGGCGCTTTCCTCCCTTTCTCTCCTGGAGCTGGGACTCTTCTTTTCCTGCCCGTGGACAGCACAACTGCAGGCTCTTTTCATACTGAGAGTTACACCATCCACTTCCCTGGTTCTGAGGCTTTTGGATGTGAACTGAGTCACACTCCTGGCATCCCAGGGGCTCCAGCCTGCAGAAAGCCTGTCCTGAGACTTTTCACCCTCCAATTCCTTTAATAAATCTGCTCTCACCCATCTTTGCTGATATCCTGTTGGTGGTGTCTCTCAAGAGCCCCGATTAATCCATAGGGGTGATGTGGGGGAGCAATGAGGTCGTGCATGGGGAGCAGGCAGCATTTCACAGCCTGCCTGACACATGCCCATGTCCTATAGGCTGCAGCTGCAGCTATTCTAGAGCTTAGTGTCAGGGCTTAAAACAGTGGAAGGCCTTGCCTCCGGCACCCAGCCATCGTGTTGATCTTTTCCTGTCATTTTTCAATTCCAGAGTGTTTTCTTGAGAGCAATTCGGTGTCCCAGGTAGTATTGACGAGGGGCTAAAATCAATCCTTACCTGTGGGAATCTGAAGCTGGGAGTGAGCAAAGGTGAGAAAGTTCTCAGGAGTCAGGAGCAGAGGAAGCTGCATGGTCAAGGGGAATCGACATGAGCCTTCCTGCCGTGTGTTCTGTTTCCTGCGGTCTAATGAGAAAGAGACATATGTATGTCTACATCATCTCATACTTAGCTCTTTAATATGTACAAGGTGTTTTCAAATTTTCCCACCGACTGTCCTTGACAGCTGAGAACATCAAGATTACCTGTTGTTGGTTACTGTTGTCAAGGGGATCCGCCCTTTAGGGACACAGGAAGATTTGCCTAAAAACGTCAGGAAGCTTGATATCTATTATTTTATTGTAAAAGTCAACTGCAGTTTTGCTGATGTATTACTTCTTTACTCATTCCAATGTTTATTTTAAGCCTGAGCTTGTGGGTCGTTGGAGAAGGAGGGAAAATATTTAACACTCTTATTAACTAATTTTACTGTGTATTTAACATGTAGAATAAAGAAAGACTTAAATGAAGATGTAGTATTTGTGAATGCTCCAACAAACTAAAAGATTATTTAAATTACTGATTTGTGATTGAACCATTTATTGTCTATAATGAATTAAAAGTTTGTGAAAATAAATTCCGTGACCTTTGGCATCTATAATTTCAAAATCGTAGTAATTTTTCAAAGCTGAAAATGCCTGAAACACCAGTCTGCCAATCATCACAATAAAACATGAAGCCCCAATGAAAGAGCTAGTCAGGATGGGTTCCCAATAAATAGCAGTTGAAGCTCCAACTACCATCAGGTGATGAGAAAACACGGTGTAAGGGCCACGTGTAATTTTTTAAATGCCAAAAGAATCGTCACAGACCGTTTTGGCTTGCAGAGCTTGAATGGCAATATGGCATTAAAATAAGGTACACAAAATTAATTATTGAATGTAATTTTGAAACACACTGCTAAAGTGCTCCCTAATATTCAACAAGCCCAAAAGTGACCACTGACAAGACTTCGTTTATTGCAGTTTTTATGCTGTCATTATGGAAAAACTGTAGCAGAAAGTTCACCAACCTCCCTTTGGAAAGAGACGTACAACCACGGCCAATAGGCTTTCCTAAAGGACAGCAGGAGCTTTTCACTGGAACTTGTTTCCCGTCCATAACATACAAATAGTTATTGTTCAGGGTCAATACAGCCTTGCAAATACACAGGCTTTGAGTTATACCAAGCATGCTCGTCCTTATATGGTATGTCCATATATGAAATACAAAAGAAATACACCACAAAATGATGGTGTTCAGGACATGGGGGAAGGCCCTGTTTCTGTGGTACAGCGTAACACATGGAAACTGCCTATAAAGCCAGTGCTTCACAACCCACGCCCTTATTACATGGAAATTCACGTTTCCATAATCACATAAAAGTTTAATGTGCTATTCATTATAAGATTAAAGGTTATGAGTTATTCTGTGCATGTAATTATTGACAACTGGAAATTAAATCGCGATAATTTTTTACTCTATTCTTTTAAAAATGATAATTTTCTTTCTCCTTTTGCCTGAGAACCATGCTTCGACAATCATAACACCTTACCTCCTAAAGTAAATGATCACAAATAGAATATATATTTTATATATGATATATAGTTATATTTATACATTATATAACAATATAAATATATATTTATATTTTATCTTTGTATTGATAAATTTATATAAAATATAAATATTTGTATATAATCTATATATGAAATCTAGCCACATAAACCTAAATATATAAAAATAAATATATAAATATACATATATAGAGGTAATTATATACAAATATATAATGATAAATACAAATCATATATATATATATATATATATATACATGCACACATTAGGAATACACAGGTCTTTTCTGTATATAGCAAAGACCTGTGTGTTTATATAAAAACCCATGTATATAAATATTTATAAATATGTATTTTATATATATATACACATTAGGAACACAGTAGTAGCAAATTCTACTATATATAGAAAAGACCTGTGCATTTATATAACTATATATGAATGTAGATTACACATATAGACATTACAAATACACAGGTCTTTTCGACACATAGCAAGTTCTATATTATTCTCTCATTGCAATGATGGACAACTGGGTATTGAGTAGTGAAAAATTTTGTAGTTTATTCTTCTTAAAGTGGTTATTTTCTTTCTCTTTTTGCCTGTGAACCATGCTTCAACAATCAGAACGCCTTACTTTCTAAAATAAATGATTATATATAACATATAAATATGTTTTATATATAATATAAATATTTCTATATATAATCTATAGGTATATATGAAGAAGTTAATATATAAATATATAGTAGGTTCTAGTATATATAGAAAAAACGTGTATTTCTAATGTATGTAGACATCTGTATTTATAGACATATAATCCAAATTTGTATTTATATATTTTATACATATAAAATCTATATATTTGTAAATAATATAGTTGTATATATTTCATTTACTTATATATTTGTATATAGTAAGTTCTACTATATATGGAAAAGACCTGTGTATTTCTAATGTATGGAAATATGAAATGTACTTTTTGTGTCCTCAGTTGCAAAAATAAAATAGCTTTTTTCAAATAGATTTTACTCTACTTTGAATTTTTCTTCTTAATTATATTAGATTGTAGGGAGGGGATGCTGAAAGGAAAGAGGATTCTTCCATCGGTTTCTATGAATGAAAAGGTACTTTAACAATGAAACCTAAGTAGGTAGAATCTGATTCTTGGTACTTGATGTATGAGCTAGCAAGATTGCATGAAGAAAGAAGCCTTACAAGACGAGGAGTCATCCTGTGAAGGGGAAATTTGTCTCCAGTGCTCAGCTCTGATGCAGTCCTTATCCTCCTGTCTGGCTGTGACCTGTCTCTCTGACATCAACCTCGTAGGACCCCACTTCCTACCCCCTCCACACACCACCCATTCTTCCCTCCGCCCCATACACCACCACTTCCTCCCTCCCTCTCCCCCCCTCCCTCTCCCCCCCTCCCCCCACACATCACCTGTCCCTCCCTCCCTCCCTCCCTCCCTCCCTCCCTCCCCACCATCAGAGAACACAGTCACTGGGATCATTTTGCAACACATTGGATTTATTGACATCAGCATGGGGGCGCCCCCTGCGCTGGTGAGATCTCCGAGTCTCCTGGCAGCTGGGCCTGAACTTAGTCGCTGCTGAGGGACGAGGCGGAGACGGTCATCACGTCACTCGGTAGATCCGACGAGGTGGAGACGGTCATCACGTCACTCAGTGGCTCCGACGAGGTGGAGACGGTCATCACGTCACTCAGTGGCTCCTCCAGCTGGGTCTCCTGGCTCAGTGGCTCCTCCAGCTGGGTCTCCTGGCTCAGTGGGTCGGGCTCGCCCACTGGCTCCTCCTTCACAGGCACTTTGCATGGAGGAAGCTCCTGGCTCGGCGGCTGGCTGGGCCCGGGTGGTGCTGGCCCGCTCCCTGCCTCAGGGGCTCCCATGGCTGCCATCTTTTTCCGAGCGGCACGTTTCTTCCCGCCTCTCCCTCCAGGACCTACTTTTCCTCTCTTGCCCTCCTTGGAAATCTGGAAGGGCAACAGGGAGATCACAGTGGGGCTCTGTCCGGGTCAGGGGAGAGGATGGAGGAGGCTGGGAACAGGGACGTTTCCTGAGAAGCGGTGAGGGCCGGGCTGGGGGTTGTGCCAGGTGACGACAGGGCAGGAATCTTGAGGAAGGAATCAAGGGGAAGACGAGGAGGAGCTCGGGTGGGTCACTCACCTTCTTCGGGGTACTGGGACTCACCTCAGAAGAGGACTTCCTCTTTTGCGTCTCCCCGGCCTTGGCCGGCGGTACCGAGGCTCTCTTCTTTGGCGCCATCTTGCTCAACTCAAAGGTCATCACGTCACTCAGTGGCTCCGACGTGGTGGAGACGGTCATCACGTCACTCAGTGGCTCCTCCAGCTGGGTCTCCTGGCTCAGTGGCTCCTCCAGCTGGGTCTCCTGGCTCAGTGGGTCGGGCTCGCCCACTGGCTCCTCCTTCACAGGCACTTTGCATGGAGGAAGCTCCTGGCTCGGCGGCTGGCTGGGCCCGGGTGGTGCTGGCCCGCTCCCTGCCTCAGGGGCTCCCACGGCTGCCATCTTTTTCCCAGCGGCACGTTTCTTCCCGCCTCTCCCTCCAGGACCTGCTTTTCCTCTCTTGCCCACCTTGGGCGTCTGGAAGGACAACAGGGAGATCACAGTGGGGCTCTGTCCGGGTCAGGGGAGAGGATGGAGGAGGCTGGGAACAGGGACGTTTCCTGAGAAGCGGTGAGGGCCGGGCTGGGGGTTGTGCCAGGTGACGACAGGGCAGGAATCTTGAGGAAGGAATCAAGGGGAAGACGAGGAGGAGCTCGGGTGGGTCACTCACCTTCTTCGGGGTACTGGGACTCGCCTCAGAAGAGGACTTCCTCTTTCGCGTCTCCCCGGCCTTGGCCGGCGGTCCCGAGGCTCTCTTCTTTGGCGCCATCTTGCTCAACTCAACGTCTCCAACGTCAATGTCAGGCTGCCTGGTCTACGTGTACGTGCCCCTTTCGTCCACGACAATGAGGCAACCACGTTTCTGAGCTTTGATTGGTCAGCATGCCACCACCCAGCCAATGGTAGCCCTGGGCGGGAAGGACGGGCTTAGACGTCACACAGCACCGCCGGGACATGGCCGAAGAAGTGTGGGGGTGGGGTGGCATTTGATGAGGAAGGCAGGATGCTATGATTGGAGAAAGGGAGATTATGGTTAGCACTCCTAAAGATGGTTCCCAACTGACATGTCACCCCACTTCACCTCCCCATGTTCAATTTTGGCAGATCACTTGGCACGGGAGGGTGTTTCCTCCAGATGTTTCCCCAGGACCCCCCCATTCAGTGGTACATTCTGTTCCCTCCCACCTTCCATCATTACCCAGTTTCTGTATGACCTACCTCAACCTCCTCCATGCTAACTGGGACAGGTGTAAGGCTATGTGAAGATGGCAATCATCTCCCTCTCCTACACATTCGTCTGCTGATCCTCGAGGACCATTCACTTCTTGGATGCTGTGAAAGAACTTATCCATTTCCCTTTCTTATCCCAGTGCCCACAGATTGCCCCTAAATGTTTCATTCTCATGGTTTAAAGCACTGGCGTCAGGGGGTCAAGCTCAGCAAACACACTGTCTCTGCTGCCTATCTGTATCAAGCTGGGTTCCTCAGAGAAGGAGAAACTAACCCAACAGGGTATTGTGTTTGTGTGTGTGTGTGTTTGTGTGTGTGTGTGTGTGTGATATACATCATAAACATCTATTTACTATCATATCATATTTGTTTCTGAATGATATTATGTATATGATACGGTTCACTGTAAGGAATTGTCTCACACATTAACACAATGTTGCGGTCTGGAAGGCTGAAATATGTAGCGCAGGTGAGCAGTCTGGAAACTAAAAGCTTCTGCACAGTTGACAGTCAACAAAATTAAAAGGCAGCCTATGGTTTGGGAGGTTTGTGTGCTCCCTCTGGGTTTATTTGGCAGCAGTTAGGACATACCTGGGTCATCTTTTGTAAACTCAGGGTGGAATAAGAAAGCCCCATCTATCTTCCAGGACCATTCTAAGGATGCCTCGCATGCATTGCTCAGTCATGACAGCGATGATTATTTTTCGAATAGTATCTAGCCCACTGCCTGGACCATGGTTGGTCCCCAATAAATAATTTTTGGATGAATAATTTAATTTGTTATTAATACTTTTTTTACCCTCCTTATTGTTATTTTTTGGAGACAGGGTCTTGCTTTCTTTTCCAGGTTGAAGTGCAGTGGCGTGATCTTAGTTCACGGCAGCCTCCACCTCCCAGGTTCAGTTATTCTGCCTCAGCCTTCTGAGTAGCTGGGACTACCGGCACATGCCACCACATCTGGCTAACTTTTGTATTTTAGTAGAGACAGTGTTTCACCTTGTTAGCCAGGCTGATCTTGAACTCCTGACCTCAGGTGATCCACCAGCCTCTGCCTCCCAAAGCACTGGGATTACAGGAGTGAGCCACCACGCCTGGCCTCTTCTCTATTTTTTTTTTTCACTGCAATTACTCTTATCAAATTTTGAGTTGTATCAGATTCTCAATCTAGTTAAGATTCAAAATTACATATCAGCTTGCTAGTCTAGCGCTTTTCCTTACTCCTCTCCCTGAAACGTCCTCAATTCTGTTTCTATTCTGCCTGGCTTTTTTCCCACTCCCGTGGACCGGTGTCCAGGGCCTCATACCCCCCAAAACCCTTCAACTAGTTATTAACTAATTTAACTGTGTATATAACATGTAGAAGAACACCTTTCTGCCAGTAAAAACATTTTCTTTCAAGAAAATAGGTAACAGCTGTTTTCATAAAACCTTCCGGGCCAGACATGGTGGTTCTCACCTGTAATCCCAGCACTTTGGGAGGCCGAGGTGGGTGGGTCACCTGAGGCCAGGAGTTTCAGATAAGCCTGGCCAACATGGCAAAACCCCGTCTTTACCAAAAGGATAAAACTTAGCCCAGTGTGGTGTGGTAGGTGCTTGTAATCCCAGCTACTCAGGAGGCTGAAGCAAAGAATCGCTTGAATCCAGGAGACAAAGATTACAGTGAGCCAACATTGCACCACTGCGCTCCAGCCTGGGCCACAAGAGTGAATCTCTGTCTCAAAAAGAAACAAACAAACAAACAAAAACTCTTCTCTATATGAACTGAGCCTACAATTATCTTGCTCATAGAATTTCTGTAGCGCTTATGCACACATAAAGTGTGCGAATTCACACTTGGTTCTGGGGACTCCTTTCATGAATGCCAGCTAAGATGTGGCCCCTAAACCAGGGGACGTGCCTCGAGTGCCTCTTCAGTCCTCCTACAGTGTGGAATACAGTGCTGCTTCTGCAGCATTGAGCAGCAGTCCTTGAGACGGTAGAGTTTGGAATTTGATCTTTGCAGACTTGAGTTTTAATCCTGACTCTGTAACCTATAAGCACCATAAGAAAGGTACTCAAGCTGTCTATCTCAGGTGTCCAGCGGGGATAGTACCCATTTTACAGGGTGCGATGGTTAATTTCAGGTGTCCACGTGGCTGCCTTAAGGAATACATCAGGAATTGGTAAAGCATTGTTTCTGAGTGAGCCCGCAGGTATTCCCAGGAAGATTGGTGTGAGCTGGTGGACAGAGTGAGGAAGATGCCTTTAGTAGAGACAGGCCCCATCCAATTCTCTGAGGCCCAGATAGAAGAAACAGGGCAGAGGAAAGGCGCTTTCCTCCCTTTCTCTCCTGGAGCTGGGACTCTTCTTTTCCTGCCCGTGGACAGCACAACTGCAGGCTCTTTTCATACTGAGAGTTACACCATCCACTTCCCTGGTTCTGAGGCTTTTGGATGTGAACTGAGTCACACTCCTGGCATCCCAGGGGCTCCAGCCTGCAGAAAGCCTGTCCTGAGACTTTTCACCCTCCAATTCCTTTAATAAATCTGCTCTCACCCATCTTTGCTGATATCCTGTTGGTGGTGTCTCTCAAGAGCCCCGATTAATCCATAGGGGTGATGTGGGGGAGCAATGAGGTCGTGCATGGGGAGCAGGCAGCATTTCACAGCCTGCCTGACACATGCCCATGTCCTATAGGCTGCAGCTGCAGCTATTCTAGAGCTTAGTGTCAGGGCTTAAAACAGTGGAAGGCCTTGCCTCCGGCACCCAGCCATCGTGTTGATCTTTTCCTGTCATTTTTCAATTCCAGAGTGTTTTCTTGAGAGCAATTCGGTGTCCCAGGTAGTATTGACGAGGGGCTAAAATCAATCCTTACCTGTGGGAATCTGAAGCTGGGAGTGAGCAAAGGTGAGAAAGTTCTCAGGAGTCAGGAGCAGAGGAAGCTGCATGGTCAAGGGGAATCGACATGAGCCTTCCTGCCGTGTGTTCTGTTTCCTGCGGTCTAATGAGAAAGAGACATATGTATGTCTACATCATCTCATACTTAGCTCTTTAATATGTACAAGGTGTTTTCAAATTTTCCCACCGACTGTCCTTGACAGCTGAGAACATCAAGATTACCTGTTGTTGGTTACTGTTGTCAAGGGGATCCGCCCTTTAGGGACACAGGAAGATTTGCCTAAAAACGTCAGGAAGCTTGATATCTATTATTTTATTGTAAAAGTCAACTGCAGTTTTGCTGATGTATTACTTCTTTACTCATTCCAATGTTTATTTTAAGCCTGAGCTTGTGGGTCGTTGGAGAAGGAGGGAAAATATTTAACACTCTTATTAACTAATTTTACTGTGTATTTAACATGTAGAATAAAGAAAGACTTAAATGAAGATGTAGTATTTGTGAATGCTCCAACAAACTAAAAGATTATTTAAATTACTGATTTGTGATTGAACCATTTATTGTCTATAATGAATTAAAAGTTTGTGAAAATAAATTCCGTGACCTTTGGCATCTATAATTTCAAAATCGTAGTAATTTTTCAAAGCTGAAAATGCCTGAAACACCAGTCTGCCAATCATCACAATAAAACATGAAGCCCCAATGAAAGAGCTAGTCAGGATGGGTTCCCAATAAATAGCAGTTGAAGCTCCAACTACCATCAGGTGATGAGAAAACACGGTGTAAGGGCCACGTGTAATTTTTTAAATGCCAAAAGAATCGTCACAGACCGTTTTGGCTTGCAGAGCTTGAATGGCAATATGGCATTAAAATAAGGTACACAAAATTAATTATTGAATGTAATTTTGAAACACACTGCTAAAGTGCTCCCTAATATTCAACAAGCCCAAAAGTGACCACTGACAAGACTTCGTTTATTGCAGTTTTTATGCTGTCATTATGGAAAAACTGTAGCAGAAAGTTCACCAACCTCCCTTTGGAAAGAGACGTACAACCACGGCCAATAGGCTTTCCTAAAGGACAGCAGGAGCTTTTCACTGGAACTTGTTTCCCGTCCATAACATACAAATAGTTATTGTTCAGGGTCAATACAGCCTTGCAAATACACAGGCTTTGAGTTATACCAAGCATGCTCGTCCTTATATGGTATGTCCATATATGAAATACAAAAGAAATACACCACAAAATGATGGTGTTCAGGACATGGGGGAAGGCCCTGTTTCTGTGGTACAGCGTAACACATGGAAACTGCCTATAAAGCCAGTGCTTCACAACCCACGCCCTTATTACATGGAAATTCACGTTTCCATAATCACATAAAAGTTTAATGTGCTATTCATTATAAGATTAAAGGTTATGAGTTATTCTGTGCATGTAATTATTGACAACTGGAAATTAAATCGCGATAATTTTTTACTCTATTCTTTTAAAAATGATAATTTTCTTTCTCCTTTTGCCTGAGAACCATGCTTCGACAATCATAACACCTTACCTCCTAAAGTAAATGATCACAAATAGAATATATATTTTATATATGATATATAGTTATATTTATACATTATATAACAATATAAATATATATTTATATTTTATCTTTGTATTGATAAATTTATATAAAATATAAATATTTTATATAATCTATATATGAAATCTAGCCACATAAACCTAAATATATAAAAATAAATATATAAATATACATATATAGAGGTAATTATATACAAATATATAATGATAAATACAAATCATATATATATATATATATATATATACATGCACACATTAGGAATACACAGGTCTTTTCTGTATATAGCAAAGACCTGTGTGTTTATATAAAAACCCATGTATATAAATATTTATAAATATGTATTTTATATATATATACACATTAGGAACACAGTAGTAGCAAATTCTACTATATATAGAAAAGACCTGTGCATTTATATAACTATATATGAATGTAGATTACACATATAGACATTACAAATACACAGGTCTTTTCGACACATAGCAAGTTCTATATTATTCTCTCATTGCAATGATGGACAACTGGGTATTGAGTAGTGAAAAATTTTGTAGTTTATTCTTCTTAAAGTGGTTATTTTCTTTCTCTTTTTGCCTGTGAACCATGCTTCAACAATCAGAACGCCTTACTTTCTAAAATAAATGATTATATATAACATATAAATATGTTTTATATATAATATAAATATTTCTATATATAATCTATAGGTATATATGAAGAAGTTAATATATAAATATATAGTAGGTTCTAGTATATATAGAAAAAACGTGTATTTCTAATGTATGTAGACATCTGTATTTATAGACATATAATCCAAATTTGTATTTATATATTTTATACATATAAATCTATATATTTGTAAATAATATAGTTGTATATATTTCATTTACTTATATATTTGTATATAGTAAGTTCTACTATATATGGAAAAGACCTGTGTATTTCTAATGTATGGAAATATGAAATGTACTTTTTGTGTCCTCAGTTGCAAAAATAAAATAGCTTTTTTCAAATAGATTTTACTCTACTTTGAATTTTTCTTCTTAATTATATTAGATTGTAGGGAGGGGATGCTGAAAGGAAAGAGGATTCTTCCATCGGTTTCTATGAATGAAAAGGTACTTTAACAATGAAACCTAAGTAGGTAGAATCTGATTCTTGGTACTTGATGTATGAGCTAGCAAGATTGCATGAAGAAAGAAGCCTTACAAGACGAGGAGTCATCCTGTGAAGGGGAAATTTGTCTCCAGTGCTCAGCTCTGATGCAGTCCTTATCCTCCTGTCTGGCTGTGACCTGTCTCTCTGACATCAACCTCGTAGGACCCCACTTCCTACCCCCTCCACACACCACCCATTCTTCCCTCCGCCCCATACACCACCACTTCCTCCCTCCCTCTCCCCCCCTCCCTCTCCCCCCCTCCCCCCACACATCACCTGTCCCTCCCTCCCTCCCTCCCTCCCTCCCTTCCTCCCTCCCCACCATCAGAGAACACAGTCACTGGGATCATTTTGCAACACATTGGATTTATTGACATCAGCATGGGGGCGCCCCCTGCTGCTGGTGAGATCTCCGAGTCTCCTGGCAGCTGGGCCTGAACTTAGTCGCTGCTGAGGGACGAGGCGGAGACGGTCATCACGTCACTCGGTAGATCCGACGAGGTGGAGACGGTCATCACGTCACTCAGTGGCTCCGACGAGGTGGAGACGGTCATCACGTCACTCAGTGGCTCCTCCAGCTGGGTCTCCTGGCTCAGTGGCTCCTCCAGCTGGGTCTCCTGGCTCAGTGGGTCGGGCTCGCCCACTGGCTCCTCCTTCACAGGCACTTTGCATGGAGGAAGCTCCTGGCTCGGCGGCTGGCTGGGCCCGGGTGGTGCTGGCCCGCTCCCTGCCTCAGGGGCTCCCATGGCTGCCATCTTTTTCCGAGCGGCACGTTTCTTCCCGCCTCTCCCTCCAGGACCTACTTTTCCTCTCTTGCCCTCCTTGGAATCTGGAAGGGCAACAGGGAGATCACAGTGGGGCTCTGTCCGGGTCAGGGGAGAGGATGGAGGAGGCTGGGAACAGGGACGTTTCCTGAGAAGCGGTGAGGGCCGGGCTGGGGGTTGTGCCAGGTGACGACAGGGCAGGAATCTTGAGGAAGGAATCAAGGGGAAGACGAGGAGGAGCTCGGGTGGGTCACTCACCTTCTTCGGGGTACTGGGACTCACCTCAGAAGAGGACTTCCTCTTTTGCGTCTCCCCGGCCTTGGCCGGCGGTACCGAGGCTCTCTTCTTTGGCGCCATCTTGCTCAACTCAAAGGTCATCACGTCACTCAGTGGCTCCGACGAGGTGGAGACGGTCATCACGTCACTCAGTGGCTCCTCCAGCTGGGTCTCCTGGCTCAGTGGATCCTCCAGCTGGGTCTCCTGGCTCAGTGGGTCGGGCTCGCCCACTGGCTCCTCCTTCACAGGCACTTTGCATGGAGGAAGCTCCTGGCTCGGCGGCTGGCTGGGCCCGGGTGGTGCTGGCCCGCTCCCTGCCTCAGGGGCTCCCACGGCTGCCATCTTTTTCCCAGCGGCACGTTTCTTCCCGCCTCTCCCTCCAGGACCTGCTTTTCCTCTCTTGCCCACCTTGGGCGTCTGGAAGGACAACAGGGAGATCACAGTGGGGCTCTGTCCGGGTCAGGGGAGAGGATGGAGGAGGCTGGGAACAGGGACGTTTCCTGAGAAGCGGTGAGGGCCGGGCTGGGGGTTGTGCCAGGTGACGACAGGGCAGGAATCTTGAGGAAGGAATCAAGGGGAAGACGAGGAGGAGCTCGGGTGGGTCACTCACCTTCTTCGGGGTACTGGGACTCGCCTCAGAAGAGGACTTCCTCTTTCGCGTCTCCCCGGCCTTGGCCGGCGGTCCCGAGGCTCTCTTCTTTGGCGCCATCTTGCTCAACTCAACGTCTCCAACGTCAATGTCAGGCTGCCTGGTCTACGTGTACGTGCCCCTTTCGTCCACGACAATGAGGCAACCACGTTTCTGAGCTTTGATTGGTCAGCATGCCACCACCCAGCCAATGGTAGCCCTGGGCGGGAAGGACGGGCTTAGACGTCACACAGCACCGCCGGGACATGGCCGAAGAAGTGTGGGGGTGGGGTGGCATTTGATGAGGAAGGCAGGATGCTATGATTGGAGAAAGGGAGATTATGGTTAGCACTCCTAAAGATGGTTCCCAACTGACATGTCACCCCACTTCACCTCCCCATGTTCAATTTTGGCAGATCACTTGGCACGGGAGGGTGTTTCCTCCAGATGTTTCCCCAGGACCCCCCCATTCAGTGGTACATTCTGTTCCCTCCCAGCTTCCATCATTACCCAGTTTCTGTATGACCTACCTCAACCTCCTCCATGCTAACTGGGACAGGTGTAAGGCTATGTGAAGATGGCAATCATCTCCCTCTCCTACACATTCGTCTGCTGATCCTCGAGGACCATTCACTTCTTGGATGCTGTGAAAGAACTTATCCATTTCCCTTTCTTATCCCAGTGCCCACAGATTGCCCCTAAATGTTTCATTCTCATGGTTTAAAGCACTGGCGTCAGGGGGTCAAGCTCAGCAAACACACTGTCTCTGCTGCCTATCTGTATCAAGCTGGGTTCCTCAGAGAAGGAGAAACTAACCCAACAGGGTATTGTGTTGGTTTGTGTGTGTTGTGTGTGTGTGTGTGTGTTGTGTGTGTGTGTGTGTGATATACATCATAAACATCTATTTACTATCATATCATATTTGTTTCTGAATGATATTATGTATATGATACGGTTCACTGTAAGGAATTGTCTCACACATTAACACAATGTTGCGGTCTGGAAGGCTGAAATATGTAGCGCAGGTGAGCAGTCTGGAAACTAAAAGCTTCTGCACAGTTGACAGTCAACAAAATTAAAAGGCAGCCTATGGTTTGGGAGGTTTGTGTGCTCCCTCTGGGTTTATTTGGCAGCAGTTAGGACATACCTGGGTCATCTTTTGTAAACTCAGGGTGGAATAAGAAAGCCCCATCTATCTTCCAGGACCATTCTAAGGATGCCTCGCATGCATTGCTCAGTCATGACAGCGATGATTATTTTTCGAATAGTATCTAGCCCACTGCCTGGACCATGGTTGGTCCCCAATAAATAATTTTTGGATGAATAATTTAATTTGTTATTAATACTTTTTTTACCCTCCTTATTGTTATTTTTTTTGGAGACAGGGTCTTGCTTTCTTTTCCAGGTTGAAGTGCAGTGGCGTGATCTTAGTTCACGGCAGCCTCCACCTCCCAGGTTCAGTTATTCTGCCTCAGCCTTCTGAGTAGCTGGGACTACCGGCACATGCCACCACATCTGGCTAACTTTTGTATTTTAGTAGAGACAGTGTTTCACCTTGTTAGCCAGGCTGATCTTGAACTCCTGACCTCAGGTGATCCACCAGCCTCTGCCTCACAAAGCACTGGGATTACAGGAGTGAGCCACCACGCCTGGCCTCTTCTCTATTTTTTTTTTTCACTGCAATTACTCTTATCTAATTTTGAGTTGTATCAGATTCTCAATCTAGTTAAGATTCAAAATTACATATCAGCTTGCTAGTCTAGCGCTTTTCCTTACTCCTCTCCCTGAAACGTCCTCAATTCTGTTTCTATTCTGCGTGGCATTTTTCCCCACTCCCGTGGACCGGTGTCCAGGGCCTCATACCCCCCAAAACCCTTCAACTAGTTATTAACTAATTTAACTGTGTATATAACATGTAGAAGAACACCTTTCTGCCAGTAAAAACATTTTCTTTCAAGAAAATAGGTAACAGCTGTTTTCATAAAACCTTCCGGGCCAGACATGGTGGTTCTCAGCTGTAATCCCAGCACTTTGGGAGGCCGAGGTGGGTGGGTCACCTGAGGCCAGGAGTTTCAGATAAGCCTGGCCAACATGGCAAAACCCCGTCTTTACCAAAAGGATAAAACTTAGCCCAGTGTGGTGTGGTAGGTGCTTGTAATCCCAGCTACTCAGGAGGCTGAAGCAAAGAATCGCTTGAATCCAGGAGACAAAGATTACAGTGAGCCAACATTGCACCACTGCGCTCCAGCCTGGGCCACAAGAGTGAATCTCTGTCTCAAAAAGAAACAAACAAACAAACAAAAACTCTTCTCTATATGAACTGAGCCTACAATTATCTTGCTCATAGAATTTCTGTAGCGCTTATGCACACATAAAGTGTGCGAATTCACACTTGGTTCTGGGGACTCCTTTCATGAATGCCAGCTAAGATGTGGCCCCTAAACCAGGGGACGTGCCTCGAGTGCCTCTTCAGTCCTCCTACAGTGTGGAATACAGTGCTGCTTCTGCAGCATTGAGCAGCAGTCCTTGAGACGGTAGAGTTTGGAATTTGATCTTTGCAGACTTGAGTTTTAATCCTGACTCTGTAACCTATAAGCACCATAAGAAAGGTACTCAAGCTGTCTATCTCAGGTGTCCAGCGGGGATAGTACCCATTTTACAGGGTGCGATGGTTAATTTCAGGTGTCCACGTGGCTGCCTTAAGGAATACATCAGGAATTGGTAAAGCATTGTTTCTGAGTGAGCCCGCAGGTATTCCCAGGAAGATTGGTGTGAGCTGGTGGACAGAGTGAGGAAGATGCCTTTAGTAGAGACAGGCCCCATCCAATTCTCTGAGGCCCAGATAGAAGAAACAGGGCAGAGGAAAGGCGCTTTCCTCCCTTTCTCTCCTGGAGCTGGGACTCTTCTTTTCCTGCCCGTGGACAGCACAACTGCAGGCTCTTTTCATACTGAGAGTTACACCATCCACTTCCCTGGTTCTGAGGCTTTTGGATGTGAACTGAGTCACACTCCTGGCATCCCAGGGGCTCCAGCCTGCAGAAAGCCTGTCCTGAGACTT